AAATCCGACTCTCGGGATTTGGGGTGATACTTTGCCCTATTGGTTTCTTGCTAATTAACAGCACATCTCTTTAAGACCCTGCGCTTTTCTTCCCATGTCTGGTAATTTAAAAAGTCTGTGACTGTACGTAGTACAAAAATTTCCCGCAGACACCTGAAAGGGCTGATTAGGATGAAGACAGCAAGCTAGAGAAGGAAACGTAACTCTAGTTTATGCTCTCTAGCAAACTCACTTTGTTCTCTCTCTCCTTTCTTGTTAAAAAGCCTCCTTGAGAACTGCAAAACGGTTGTCAAACATAAACAGAAACATTCTGATGATTAAATCAACTAGCGGTGGATTTATTCCCCCCACTTTCATTTGGACACGATTATTCAACATTGCAATGGAGCGAGAGCTCCGCATGAAAAGCAATTCCACTTTAAACAGTTTCTTTCATACATAAAACGCTTACAGGTACGTGTCTTAAAAGGTAGGGCGACTGACAAACCACCCTCTTTCTTAAAAACGTTTGTGTGTCCCTCGTTCTTAAAAACATTGTTACACAATTACACGTGTTCCTTTCCCTCTAATCAGACATTTTGTTTAAACTCATATTTTTTTCCCAAACCAAACAGAATTTAATATTATTTGCTATTAACATGAGCTGTTCCACACAATGGGAAAAAAAATTTTTAAATAAGATCCCACAAAAAAACCTGCCTAATATTTACTTTGTTCAAAACTACATTGAATTGCCTCACATGGTATCAAAGAATACACAGCATTAAAGTAATACACTCACAGTTGGAAAACATGGTATCAATTCCAAATATATATGAAGGTGAATTTCTGAATTTATTGCATTGCATTTCAAAGGCTGAGTATGAATAAGGATAAAGCTCACCTGATAGTGATTATATTCTAGCATTTCCAACATAACAACGGTTTAGGTGGCCCCAATCCAGCGACAAACGGTCGACTATTCACTCCCTCTACTTTCTGTAATTCCAATTCGAAGACTGACTGGCACAGAGAAGGCACTATAAACAAGGTATCCCGAGACACCACCGGAAACTTTAGCACAGCAGCCCGGCTTATAATAACCTAAGCTAATTAGTTATGCGTGTAAAAAAAAAATCCCTCTTACACAAGCTTTTTTTTTTTTTTTGAAAGCCCTACAAGTTTAGTTTTAAATATTGGTATCAACTTTGTCTCCGAGCTTGACGTCATGGTTTTTTTCCCCATAAGAATAAAAGACCCTTTTAAAGTGACGAGCTATCAAAGTCAAACTCACTGCTAGATCAAGGCCAATTCATTATTCATCTTTAGTTCCAGCAGTATTAATAGACAATGGTATTTCTCTTTCAGCAATCACTTAAGAGTTTGATAGCTCCTTTGGAGGAGACACTGCCTGAAAGCTCTCCTATTGGACACAAGCCTTTTTTCAGTGGCCGATAACTACCATTTCAAACTGCAGGGAGACTGTTTAGAAAGGAGAGGCACCTTTACTGAGCACTTAAGTTCAACAGCCTCATCTCACATCCTGGTCTTAACATGCATCTTATT